TGAAGCCTTAATATTGAGTAGAAATGAGTAGAAACTATGATATTTTGTTGTGTTTATGCTTAGAAGTGATATAGTATTTGTTTGTGAGTTGTTGAGATTGTTTTGGACTTGTTTGGATTGAGTTTTGCATATGAGAAAGCCTTCTGGTGCACACACAAAGTGCACCAGATCAGACCAGCGGCCCTAGCCGCGGCCCATCAGGACGGCCGCCGGCTAGAGCCGTGGTTGCACGGGACTAGGGCACGGCCCTAGAGGAGGGACGCCGCCTAATCCCGATGGAGTGACGGGGCTCATGGGGCGGACCACGAGGAGTCCCGCCTCAGGTCCCTGAGTTTGATTCTGAAAAGGTTTTGTGCAGTGCCCGGGCCCTTGTGGCTCAGCTACGTGTCGTTTCGAGCCGAGTGTTATGGGCCCTTGTGGCTCGGATCTTCGGGATCGTCTCGACGCACGTTTTGGCTTTGATTTCGTTGAATTTGGATAAAAAATGAGTAAGATGTGAAGGATTTGTTGAAGAATATCCACACAGTGCATATTTGCTTAGTTCTCTGTATATGAAAAATGCTTGGCTTTTTAATCTGATGTTATTTTATTGAGTAGAGAAGCATGATCCTTTGAGAGTATGATTTATTATGTAAGCATGATCCTTTGAGAATTTGATTTATTATGAAAGCATGACTAGATTGTAATATTTGATCAATGAGAATATAAGCATATTTGTTGAGTGAAATGTATAGAATTTGCTATGTTGCAAACTGAGCATGACATTATATTCTTGAGTACTTCATGTTATTTTATACATGGTTTAGAAGCATGCTATAGAGTATTTTGGAATCCCCCATATGTCATATTTCAAAAGTGCATAAAGGGCCAACGTGAGCCCAAGTATTACTTTCAAAAACCATAAGCATGTGGTATATCATTCTTTGATGCATTGAGAAGTAGTAGAGTTGTTGCATGCATGAGATTGATGCATGAGAGATATATCTATGTATTATATATATCGGTGAGGTTTTGGAGGATACCGTTTGGACTATGTCCTCTCGGGAGATATTTATGGACATTGCGGTCCCAGTATATGTAACGCGGCGTATTCCCACGTTACGAGGTTGGAAACTGCCCGCCAGGCTTGGAATCCTGGTATGGGGGTGTGCACACTTAAAGTTCGATACCTGATTCCACAGCACGAGAACCACGAGATTGGTTCCGTAGACGGTAGGAGATATTGGGTCGGATTTACGCCGTTCCCAATGGGGCAATTCACGCTTTGGTGAAACCCTGAGCCGTCTACGAGCGAGAAGAAAAGAAAGATAGTCAAAAGAGACTCATGAGACAGAAAGAGAGTCAAAAGAGACTCAAGAGAAAGAAAGAAAGTAAGAAAGAGACCTCCACAGAAAGTACTCTATTTTTATAATGAGTGTAAGTGTGTGTATATATATATATATATATATATATATATATATATATATATATATATATATATATATATATATATATATATATATATATAGTGCACGAGATTACATATGAGTATGAGTATAGTATTGCACGAGATTGCATATGAGTATGAGTATATTATTGCACGAGATTGCATATGAGTATGATTATATTATTGCACGAGATTGCATATGAGTATGATTAGTATTGCACGAGATTGCATATGAGTATGAGTATAGTATTGCACGAGATTGCATATGAGTATGAGTATATTATTGCACGAGATTGCATATGAGTATGGTTATATTATTGCACGAGATTGCATATGAGTATGATTAGTATTGCACGAGATTGAATATGAGTATGATTATAGTATTGCACTAGATTGCATATGAATATGATTATAGTATTGCACGAGATTGCATATGAGTATGAAGTATAGTATTGCACGAGTTTGCATTTGAGTACAGTATCACATGAGATTGCATAATGAGAATGTTGATTTAAGATTGTTCGTCGAGCATGATTGTTTGTTATATTTGAAGCCTTGTATATCAAGTTTATGTGATGAGAATGTGAGAGTATAAGAATACCTGTTATATGGTTTATTAGCATGATCCTACTTGTAAGCATGAATTGCTTGTTCATTTAATTGAGAAGTTTATATGATGAAGAATCTAAGTGTTCAGTCTTTTATATATATATATATATATATATATATATATATATATATATATATATAAAAGCATGCCAGCTGATATTATAGGGTGCAAACATCTAGAAAGTATGTGTTAGATCTAAAGATGATATGAGAATATGAGATGAGTTTATTGTTTATAAAGAAATCAAATGTTTTCAAAGTAAATGCTAGAATACTTTATAGGGTTGAGTGTGGTTATACTTAGCTTCGTGCTAACGGGTGTTTTCTTATTTGTCTATGTGTTGCTTGCAAAACCCCTTTCAGGTGGGCCCAACAGTGAGAAGAGATCGAGTTAGATTAGTCTCGTAGTTTGAGATGTCTAAACTCTAGTTATTGATGACTTTGTTATGGATTTTAGACTTATTTTGATATTATGGTTTTGAGGATGATGTAGACTTTTGGGGTGACGTTTTTCCCCCTTATGTTTCCAGTATTCTATATGGATGTCGGATATTTATTTTATTTCTAATTTTACCCCTTAGCCTGTGCAATCACCACGGAGGGGTGGTTGTGGCGGTGACACTCCCACTAGTTATCTTATTAGTTATTATTTCCGATGCTTAGTTTATGTTAATGATTATTTAGAGTTGTAATTAAAAGTTAGAAAAGTGAGGTGTTACACCGCCTCTAGCAGATTTTTTGGGAGACTCGGGTCATTTCCAGAGGTGAACACATCCAAATCGTGAACCGGTTCAGAGAGATCCAAGCCTTTCCTCTTTTTTCTCTGGTCAGGCCCAACAAGAGTTCCCTCATAATGCCCCAAAAACATTGGGCCTTTTGAAGTGGGCTGAAAGAAAGGACCAAGGTTACTCAAATCACTGGGGGTTGCAAGCTTCACCGGGCAGCAATCGTTATACCCTGCACCACGACGAACAGTGCATTGTGCGTCCTGCGCCTCCCAAAATGACGTCGTTTTGGGAGGCGCGGTAGGAAGTTGACATGATTATGTACGTCATTTTGGGAGGCGCGGTAGGAAGTTGACATGATTATGTATATTTATTTATACAATTATGTATATTTTTTATTATGTACATTTTTTATATAATTATATACATTTTTTTATACAATTATGTACATCCGAATCAGAAAATTTTTGTGTATTATGTTAAGAGTTGATGTGTATTAAGTTAAAAGTTTATGTTTATTATGTATTATGTTAGATTATGTGTATTATCTTTTAAAAAGAGTATGTGTATTTTTTTTTTTATATAATTATGTACATTCATGTAGACAATTATGTGTATTCTAGTATAACATTATGTACATTTTTAAACATGAGATTTTTATTTTTAAGGAAAATTAACTGCCGAACACTGTGTAGCGAAATTTCAAAAAAAAAAGAAAAATTGAAACGACGTCGTTTTGCATCTGGGCGCACAATGCAACGCGTGCCGTGGTGCAGGATATAAATTGCCACCTGGCAGCAGCAGGGATTAAGGAATTGATTGAAAGACAGATGGCCTGCAGCAAAAGCATTTGGTTGACTTTGGGAACTGGCTCCAACTATGAATGAGGCAGAATTAAATGTGCAGCTCTTTTCATGTCTGGCCTCTGGCATCTGCTCCTGCATGTCATCAGTCCGAGCAATATCCGGCTGATAAACACTCTGCCCATAATCCTTTTGCCCACTGGGTTCCTCGTACATGGGGATTCCCGTTTGGTGGTGGTTTGTGTTGTCGGTGGCACACTTTTCCGGTGTGGTGCTCCGTTCTGGCCGTTGAGAAAAGAGCCATCTGTTAGCTTGTGAAGGTGGCCGCCTGTTCACCGCTCTAAGTTCAGGGCCATATGCCCTAGTCGACTCAGCTTCCTTGGAATCAAACAGTTTAATGCAAGACCTCTCGCTATGCCCAATCAAACCACAGAAGAAACAGAACGTGGGGAGCCTCTCGTACTTGCATTCCAAGGTCAAAACTTCCACCGCAGCATTTTTTTTTATTTTGATTTTTTGACATAGAGGCTCTGAGATATCCATCCGAACTCTTATACGTATGAACCCGATCCAAGTGCCGTCATAGTTAGACAAATCCGCTTTGATAAAATCCCCAGTTGAGCTGCAATAAATTTGGCCATTTTGAGATTTGTCATTTTTTTTTTTTGGTATTTTGTGTATTTGTACCCAAAATTCTGCTTTGGAAAGATCAACCTCAAAGGGAGATTCGTTGTCTTGAAGCTGGTGTAGATTGAGCAGGTGTTGGTCGAAAGACCAGGGTCCTTCCTCAAGCACCCTGCGAGTATCTTTCTCATGGAAGAACTGGAAGAGGAACAGGTTATTTGCTAAATCCTTTGCCATCATTCCCTTGACTGGGCGCCATGGTTTCCTTCAGGAAGTTAAATTTCACAGCTTTGTCTGTAAGCAAGGTACCCACCAAGGTGAAAACATCATCATCATGGGCGTTCCAGGTTTCATCGTCTCCGAATGGCATGTCAACCTCCACTTCATCCTGGATGTTTAATGCTTCGTATTGTGTCTCCAGTGGTTCTTTGCCTCGGCTGCTTGACGCCATGTTGTTAGTGTGTAGGAACTGGAATCGTTGGGTCTCAGCTAACGCAAGAGGTGGGCAGAAGCAAGGTCTCTTCTTCGTGCAGTGACTATGGCTTGAAGTACACCAGAACACTAGTCTCTGGGGTAAATAAAGGAAAGACCAACAACCATCATTCAATGCCATTAAGGTGGTTGGTGGGATTCTCATAAATGAAGCAGAAGGGCAATAACAACCGGAATAAATCCGGACACGACTTGTAGAACACAAGAGGAAAGAGGCTTGTTAACTAGAACAAGAGGAAGAAAGCTCCATCTGGAGAGGGAATCTGGGATCCAAAGTAATTACAACTACTAACATTTATATCTTTACGTTTCCAATTTTCTTTTGACTAACAGTAGTGTCTGTTCGTTCTAATCATTCATTTCTTCCAAATTCTTCCTCTTCCAGAGAGAGAGAAGCAAATGGCTTACGCTGCTGTAACTTCGCTTATGGAAACACTGTCTCTACATTTCTTGCAATCACAACCACGTTTGCCTATTGAAGATTTAGAAGCACAAATCAGAGATGACAATGAAAATATTGGCTTGGTGCAACAAATTGTTGAGGCTGAGATGAGAGAGATGGAGTTGGACGAAGAAGCGTCATCAAAGCGTCTTCGTATAAAGGCTTGCTTCCCCAGGCTTCATGGAATCTTCAATAATGAAGCGGTAAAACAGACTGATTATTACCCCAAGAAGAAGAAGTTGATTAAAAGTGAAAAGCTGCAGCAGCAGCAGCTTGCAGAGAGTTCATCATCACCAAATGAAAGAATCATTAATGCTTGGGATAGTATACTATTGACTTCTCGGCTCAGGGAGGTGGGTGAACTCAAACAAAAGATAGTTTCTCTCCATCAAAATCTGGGCTTGCTGCAACAAAGTCTTGAGAAATCTGAGATCCCCTATGATGATGGGAGGGTGGGGGTGATGAAAGATTTAGTGGCGCAGATCAGAGATGCATCGTTCAATGCAGAAGAAAGGATTGAGATGGAGTTGAGAAGAATTTATCTAGCAAAGGACAGCCTTCATATAACAGCTTGCCTGCTCAGGCTTCATCAAATCTTCAATGAAGCACAAAAACAGACTGATTACCAGATGAGGGATGGTAATGAAAATCTTGGCTTGCTGCAACAAATTGTTGAGGCTCAGATTAGAGAGATGGACTTGGAATTGGACGAAGAAGCGTCATCATCGAAGCCTCTTCGTATAAAGGCTTGTCTCCCCAGGCTTTATGGAAAGCAGCAGCTTGCTTGGCTCAGAGAGGTGGGTGAAGTCGAACAAAAGATGGTCTCTCTCCAAGAAAATCTTGGCTTGCTGCAGGACATTCTTCAGAAATCTGAGATTGGCAATGATGATGCGGGGGCGATGAAAGATTTAGAGGCAGAGATCAGAGATGTATGGTTCAAAGCCGAAGAAAGGATTGAGATGGAGTTGACTACAATTTATCTAGCAAAGGATAGTCTTCTTCATATAACATCTTGCCTGCTCAGGCTTCATCAAATCTTCATTGAAGCAGAAAAACAGACTGATTACCACAGGAATGAGTTGATTAGGATTCAAACTGAATACCAGCTAATTGCAAAGGCGGCTTCATCACAAAACGAAAGAATCACTGATGTTTCACTCCTTGGTCGGATCCAACGAAGAGGACTACTGCTTGAGAACGGAGGAGGATTATCACAGCCTGTTCTAGCACACAAGAACATTATTGTGAGAAAATTTTCAAAAACCGCTTCAAAGTTGGACAGTAGAATGGTGGGATGCCATGAGGCGTTCAACACGATATTGGATAAGCTCACACAACAATCAACTAAGGGGAGACAAGTTGTTTCAATTGTTGGCATGGGAGGAATAGGCAAGACCACTTTAGCACAAAAAGTTTATGAACATCCGTCAATTACTTCTTATTTTGACATGCGAGCATGGGTTAGTGTATCCCAAGAGTTTAACCAGGAACAAACGCTCCGATGCCTTATTGGTTGTGTTACAGCAGCATCAAGAGATGAACTCCATAAACAGAACCAAGACCAGTTAGCTGAATTCCTGCGTAAAAACTTGAAGGAACAAAGATATTTGATAGTGATGGATGATATATGGAGCACTACTGCTTGGGATAGTGTGCAAAGATGCTTTCCAGATGATAATAATGGAAGTCGTATACTGTTGACTTCTCGGCTTAAAGAGGTGGCAGAATATGCTAGCTCAGGTAACTCTCCTCTTAACATGCCTTTCTTAGATGCCGATGAAAGTTGGAATCTCTATTGCAAAGTCTTTGGTAAAACTGAATTCCTTCTAGTGTTTGAGCAAATTGGTAGAGACATAGTGAAGAGATGTAAAGGATTACCTCTAGCTATTACTATAGTAGCTAGTCTTCTCTCCAAGATAGAAGAGGAAGAGGAAAAGTGGAAGAATGTTGCAAAAAATGTAATGGGTGATTCTAGTGATGCATGTTCTAGAATACTATATTTGAGTTACAATCAATTACCACACCACTTAAAAGCTTGTTTTCTATATTTTGGAATTTTTGAAGAAGACTATGAGATCTCTGTGAAGGAGTTGGTTAGGTTGTGGGCGGCAGAGGGATTTTTGAGCACTGAGAAGCATGTGAATTTGGAGAAAGTGGCTATGGAATGCTTGCAAGATCTTGTTGATAGAAGTCTTGTTATAGTTAGCAAACATAGCTACAATGGGGAAATGAAGAGAATAAGGATCCATGATCTGTTGCGAGATTTGTGCTTGAGAGAAGCTAGACTTGAAAATCTCTTGAATGTCAATGGAGTTAAAAAACCTTGTCGTTGGATAAGTCATACATCTATATATTTCTATGATGAAGTCATGTTTGAAGATGAGTACTTTCACAAATCTCATTCCTTTCACTTAACTCATCTTAGCTATTCTTGGAATGAAGACGTGTATCGTCTACTTTCACACTTGAAACTAGTAAGAGTACTAGAAATTAGAAATATATATTGGGATAGAGTTATAGACCTAAATGTGCTTGCAAATCTTGTTCATCTGAGATACTTAGCTTTGTCCACAAATAGGTTTTCTAAGATAAAGCTCTTTGAGCATTGGAATATGCAAAGTCTTACTGTTAGTGGGTATGATGTTACATTGGATTCCTCTGAGGCATATAGAATTTGGAAAATGCCACTATTAAGGAATTTTTGTATTGGAAAAATTTTGTCATTAAAAGACCCGCCGGTTGTTTATAGAAACTTAGAGAATATATCTTGGTTGGATTCTAAGTTATGTACAAAGGATCTGTTTACAATGATTCCGAATTTAAAAACATTGGGGGTTTATTGTGGAAACGATGACGATATTCCAGATTGTTTTTATAATTTTGTGCACTTGGAGCAGCTTGAGAAACTAAGCATCAAAATGTGGATAAATTCCGGCCTTGTTATGTGTAGCATCCCATGGGCAACTAGTTTACCAAATCTTAAGAAGCTCAGCTTGTTGATGTCTTATCTGCAGTGGAGTGAGCTGAGGGCTATTAGTATGTTGCCTAATCTGGAGGTTCTAAAATTGATAAATGCTTGTAAAGGCTCAGAGTGGGAGACATATGATGGAGGGTTCCATCGATTGAAGAGGTTGGTAATTAAAAAAGCAGATTTCCAGTGTTGGAATGCTGTGGGTGACCATTTCCCTATGCTTGAATGTTTAGAGATAAGTGAGTGCTATTGTTTGAAAGAAATCCCTAGTGGTTTTGCCGATATCACCACACTAGCATTGATTCAGTTAAGCAAATGTAGTGATTCCCTTTTGGCTTCTGCAAAGTGGATTCAAGAAGAGCAAAACAACAACTATGGAAATGATGCCCTCCTTGTTCGTTCCGAAAATATTTGGGTCTCTTTCTATTCCTCTGATATATCTCTCACCATTTAACATGCACTTTATACTACTTGAATTTTTGATGGCTGATGGTTGCAATGGATAATCATCTGATCTGTTTTCTCTCACTTCTCTATCTCTTTTTTTAATTTCTCTATGTCATATTTCCTTACCTATCTAACTGTTGTTTGCTCGCCTTTTCTTTTTACTGAAGTTATTGTTTCCAGACACTTCATGGCGTAATAAGTGGCTTTAGGAGAAAGAGAGTGATGAATGAATAGCAGTATGTAGTTATGTAGTTATGAATAGCAGTTTATTTTGGTGTTTTTTTTTTTTTCCCTCAAATTAAAGAAAGAAAATGGATGAATTAAGCTTATTGCTTTCCCTTTTTGGAAATATATATAGGAAACTAAGGCCTGTGGAAATTTTTATTTATTCATTTAAAGTCTCAGAAATCTGTTTTGTTTCTTAAGTGAAGTGAAGTTTGGTTGTAGAGATTTTGGTGGTGGGGAATTAGTTTGTAGATTGGTTGCAATATATATAGCTGCTCTGATCTGCACTGCAATGAATAATCATTATCTCTTTAATTTTCTCTCATTTGTCTCTATCTGCTTTATTTATATATGAATGTCTCTTTACTTATAAGTGGTTTGTTCACCATCCATGCACCCGGCCTGAGTTTAAGTATTTGCAAGAGATCCCGAGTGGTTTTGTGGATATCACCACACTAGCATTGATTCAGTTAAACTACTGTCAGGAATCGGGATTCGCTTCTACTTCCGCAAAGTGGATTCAAGATGAGCAACTCAACAACTATGGAAAATCCATCCTTGCTCGTTTCGAAAATATTAGGTCTCTTTCTATCCCTCTAATATAACTCTGACCATTTCACATCTCATTCTACTTGTTTATCTGCAAGGAATAGTCATCTGTTTTCTCTCACTTCATCTCATTTTCTCTATATATTTCCTTGCCTATCTACCTGCTGTCTATTCACCAAATTTTAACTTAATTTACTGTTTCCAGCCTGAGAGTAAACATCTGAGAAAGAATGTGATGAGGAGAAATTGTTTGAAGACAAATTTTGAAGGCTATGTCCAGGACTCCAGGGTGACTACTTTGTTATATATTTTGGTTTCTGGTTCTGGGATGATTAGAGATGTGATGGATGATGCCATTTCACTCATTTCTTAAGATTATAATGCTTTAAGCAATTAATTTATTACAGATTATGTTGTTGTTATACAATTCAATATAGTGAATTTATTAGGCTAAGTCTGAAGTGATTTTTTGTTTGTAAGCAAGTGAAGTTGTACAGATAATCTAACTTAACCTCTCACTGTTTTGTTTCTTCTTAGCCACATACACTTTACTCATTCTTAATTCTTAAACACACACAAGTTTTGGAGTCTCTATACAAAACCTTGATTTTCTTGAGTGGTGTTTCTTCGTCTCAAGTCTCAACTGTTACCTAGTTTTGTGTCTAACTTCCTCTACTTCAATCTTCT